GTTTTCATTGCGGAAATATTAGGGGAATGTTATATCCTCACAATGAAAAGAGCGACAGAGTTAACTTTTAAAAATGAAAACTTAGAATTCAAACAACATTATACGAGTTGTTATAAAATTACGAGTCAAAAGCTGATTTTTTTTAAAAAAAAGATAAATGTCTTGATGGCACAGATAGGGCAGGCGACATGGCCTGAGCTCGGGAACTGGAGCAGGGAAACTTGCCAAGTGGAAATTGTGCTACTGCTGTTCTGTATTGGCAGCCACAGCAGCAATGTGGAAACTAAACCAGCCAGTTATCATGTGGAAAACACCCCAGTTCAGCTAGACATTGCAGATGTAGAAAGAGGGAACTGCAAGATGTCCAAGCTTTCATGCAATGCATGATTTTTACACGTTCAAAGAAAACTGATGTAGTAGCAGAACAGATATTTTGCATATATAAAAGATCCACTTCATAAAGTCACAGAATCTTGGAGGTCATTCAGTCTAGCCCTCTGGCTCAATACAGGAATAAAAAAAACCTATTGTATCCATGGCATTCCATCCCTAGCATTTCTGCTTAAGGACCTCAGGTAGAAGACCTGGGGGAACTTGATCTGTTTGGGAACCTGGGAAGCAGCCGGATGCATTTGGCTAGATAGTTTTGATTTGACTCATAATGCTTCTTCCTTTTTTTTTTTTTTTACTTTCACTTGTACAATGTGACATCTCGAACTTTCACTTGTACATGTGATATCTCGAATCTTCAAAATAGATATCTATGGTCAGCAGCTTCTTGCTTCTACTGTTTACATTTCCACATATGTACATTTATGTCTGTCTAGCAGATATCCACCCTATTCATACATCCAGCTCATATTCCATAGAGTAACAAACAACAGGCCTGACTAGCTAATCACTGCTTAGGGGCAACGAATCTCTTAAGAATCTTTCAACACAATCTTTTCCTAATGCAATAAATAATGCAAGTTGTTATTTTCTCTCAAGGCAGTATTTCCGTTATGAACATATCTAAGTATACAAGTGCAACATTTTGAACCTGGAAAACTATGCACCTTCCCCCACGTACTGCAGTTTTGGGATTTCCTCATGAAAAGTGGAATAGCACCTACTATGGGCAATGACATTGCTTATGATGTGAATAATAGTGAGCAATGGAATCAAATGCTTTATACAAGATTTCTTCTCTGCTGTGACAATCTGAAGGACTGTTTCTTCTAGGCTTTTAGAAATAACAAACACCAGCAAGGCTAAACTGTTTCCCCACCACCACACACTCATATATACAGCGGTATCTTCCATTTTGAGGAATGTTTCCTTTTCTATTATAGCATTAGACCCTAGAAGGAAGTGTTTTTCAGTGTTATAAAGAAGGAAAGCTTTTCTAGCTCTTTTGCTAGCATGAGTTAACACATACCTTTTTACAAAAAGGGATAAACACTAGCACACCTATCCCTTTCCAGCCAGGCCATTTTCCTTTCTCCACAAATAATTGTGGTGGATATTGTGCTGCTGTTTTTGAATCAAGACTCACGGGATCATCTCACAAAGGACGTTGTTGGGATGTGCAACTGCCACTTAACTATAAAACTACTAACGAAAGGGCATTTGAAAAAGCAACCTGAAGATAAGTAACTCATAGGATGCTTCTGGAATCTTAAATATTTTCTCATAAAATAATTTTCATTCTCAGGTTCAAGCTATTCAGGATCAGAAAATAAGAGAATATTTCCACTCAACTTCTTCCTCTGCTTTACTCATCAAAGCAGTTATTATAGCAGGTTTTGGAGGCTGTCTAGTGTGGAAGGAACAACAAAATCAGAGAGCTTGAAGAAGCCATCAAGCCAAACGTGAGTATCTTGTTTCCAAGGCTGAGCAAAATTCCCCTAAAGATTAAGCCACAGGATGCCACAGGAACACATCAGAAGCCAACAATTGCACCAAAGTACTTGAATATAAGATAGCTCCAGATTACCCTAACCGTTGAGCCAATCCAGCAGTTTTCATCATCTAAAGACCCAGCAGCAAAATCACATTGTAAAAGGATTGTCAATTCATTTTCATTGATCCACTGGCTATAACCCTTATCCTTCCTCATCGATCTATGCCAGTGCTTGTTATTGTCATATACCACATCATGTCTATAACTCCACTTATGCCGCAAGTGCCTTCTCTGTGTTTATTTTGCAAAGCCAGTGGAACACATTAGGTGGCATATCGATAATCACAGAAAAACATTCAATTCTGGAGAACTGAGGTGAAATACAAAACATGGCTTAACACCTTTATATTCAACTTCACTTTGGCTACTGAGTGCAAAAGCCTCTTTTAACCTGAAGAGATCATTTAAAAAGATTCACATTTATTTAGCCTATTCAGCTGGCAGAAATCAAGAAAGCCCTTCTTTCTCAGTAAATATTCTAGCAGTGTTAAGGACAAGTTCTCAGTAATAACTGTCACTTACTCCTTGTTTAGTGAACATAGGATTGCAGCCTAAGCTTTTCCACCACTAGCACCCATCTAATCATCTAATGACTGCACATGCCAAGACTAATTTTTAAAAAAACAAATTGTGTACACTTTCACTATAGAATTCACTTCATTGCATCTGAAAAATGATTATGCTATGCCACAGGAATCTTCTTTTGCAGCAGTGGACAAGCATGTCTACCTCACGGGAATTCCACTCCCCCATCCTCCTGATTCCACTCCCCCATCCTCCTGCTCCGTCTCCTGACTTCTGCCAAGTCAACAAAACCCAGTGAGCTACTCATCTCCACAACAAAAACTCAAGGATCAAAAACACACCACAACACTCTCCTGCAATTTATTGTGTCCAGCTTCCATGATCTAATTAGGCCTTCTGCTATCACTATCTATGCACAATGTTGCAAGGAAAAACTGTGTGGTACCAATATACCCATCTGTCCGTATCAACAGCTTTGAAAATTAATGGGCCATGTTATGTCCCCTAATATGGCTGTCAATGGGAGAAATGGAGCAAAACGGGAAATGTTAATCCAGCCTCCACTGAACCTAGTTGAGATACAAAACAAACACAACATAAAGAAGCAAACCCCACGAGTACCCTTACTGAGCTCACGTCCACAGTTTTATGACTAGACTGTTCATTAGAATGGTGTATTTATTTATTAATTAAAATAGTTATATCTTACGTTCCACCCTGCAAAAAGGGGAGCCATGGCAGCTCACAAACTATATTATGAAAACAATCCAAAAATAAGAACAATGTATCCCTATCACAAGATAAAACACTGCCGAACTCCAGTTGCCAGCATCCTTAGCACAAAGTGCTCCTGAACCAAACAATAATGCATGATTTTCTGGATGTTGCTCATGAGGATAAGCTTCTGATCACTAACAGGAAGCCATTCCACAAAATTGCACAAATGAGATGGTAGAATAGTCCACACAACCTCTGGGTGCAAAGGGTGTGTGTATGTGCGTGCTTGTGCACCATATTTAAGTATACCTCTATACATACAGGATACCCTGCAAGTTATATATAAGACTTATCATTTAGACAGGTGAGCATTCAAAAATGTGAAGCCCCTACCTTCAGTCTGGCCTGGTATATTCTGTCACTTCAGGATTTGTAAACCAGGCCTAAATTGATGATGAGAAATTATCCAATAATGTAAGATGGAATTCATTTTAAGGCATAGCAAAAAAAAAAAAAGCTGCAATTCATCCTTGGGAAACCCATTAAATAAGCCTATCTGGAGTCCCAGTTCAAATTATCCCAATATCCTTCACACTCTCCCAGGCTAACTGCTCCAATTACCAGCTTTTTCTGCAATGAGGTGGCCTGCTCTTTCATTTCAGCTACAGCCCCTGTGGTCCACAACTGGTTTAAGTTTACAAGGCAAGAGTACACATACAGGATTTCCCTAGAGTTAAGACACCATTAATCTCCGAACAATCTACATGGCAAAAGCTTACACTTCAATCAGCCTTTAAGGAATCACAAGACTCCTTTCTGTTTTGACTGATCTCTGTTAAGTGACCCCAATTATGCATTCTTGCATTATCAGACCAAAGTCTAAAAAGAAAGACAAGTCTTGTGGCCCTTTAAAGACTAAGTGATTTATTATAGGCATGCACAAGTCAAATCAAAACAATTAGCAGGTGCAGGATGGCCATTCACTAGCACACTTTGGCCTGCCAGTGCTCCTTAGTAAGCTAAGCTCCAAAATAACCCGGCTAGCCCAGACTCGATTCTCTTTGCAGGCTGCCTCTTGTTCATCCACAGGAGATTCTCAATGGCAGCATCCTTACAGCAAGGGCTCTCACCTCCTCTCTTTCCAAATGGCTGTGGTGCCCCTATTCCCAGCCTTTGAACTATTCACAAAGGAATGGTAGGCGGGATAGACCTTAGCCTCCCAAAGATGTTCTCTCAAACTTCTAGGTCTCAACCTAGTCAGCCTAACACAGCTCAAACCCATCTAATTCTCCATGGGATTATTTCCTTCCAGTTAAGTTTCCTGCCAACCTAGCAGTTCGAAAGCAAGAAATTGCAAGTAGATAAATAGGGACCACTTTTGTGGGAAGGTAACAGCGTTCCGTGCGCCTTGTTGTTTAGTCATGCCGACCACATAACCACGGAAACGTCTTCGGACAGCGCTGGCTCTTCGGCTTTGAAACGGAGATGATCACCGCAACCCTAGAGTCGGATTCGACTGGCTTTCGAGCAAGGGAACCTTTACCTTTACCTTTTTAAGGGGCTCTTTAGGGGTTAAACCGCAAATCCATTTTCAGTCCTACCACTGAGACACCACCGCCAGCCCATACAACCATTCGGAATGGGAAAGGGAAGAACCACAAGCACCTCACGGCTTTAGAGGACCCTCTAGCCCACCAACTCTCCCCACTACCCGCGGGATTCCATATCAGCGCGGCTGCGCCCCCCTCCCCCGTTATCCCGACGCAATTATTCCCCGTGACTCGCTCCCCCTGGCGTGCCCCTGGTCTACTACCTCGGCGAGGCGCTCGAGGGCTTCCCCGTCGAGGCACGTGTGGTTCTCCAACAACTCCCACTTCTGCTGCAGCAACCTCAGCGCCGTGCTGCGCTCCACTGGCCCCTCCATGGCCCAAAACGCGGCGCTGCCCAGCAGCAGGTAAACCACATAGGCGCAGAGGAGCAGCAGCGTGGTGGGAATGCTCCGGCGCCTCGCCAGTAGAGCGGCTGCCGACAGCGTCCCACCGCTGCATTCGCCGCCGCCGCCGCCGCCGCCGCGGCACATCTTGCAGCTCGTGTGGCCGGCAGGCAAACTTTCGGCGGCGCTGGGCTGCTTGGGAAGGCGGGGAAAGCGAAGGGGCCGCGAGGGCGGCACCGACTTACCGCCGGAGCGCGGGGGTGTTGCTACAGGAGGAAAGTGGCGTTCCACTGGCCTCTTGGTTTGATTGGGAGCAGCTGTGCTCTTCCAAACGGGATAAAGAGGACTCGCAGGCGGGGCGGGGGTGTTTTGGGCCCAAGAGCAGGTGAAGTGAAAGACGGAGTCTGCCGTAGTCTGAAGGAAGTTACTAATGCCTAAGGAATGTGGTAGCAAAATTGTTGGGTGATAGTGAGATATTGAAAAAATTGTATTTAGCAGAGATAAAATAGTCCAGCAGTCCAGGATTAAAATAATTCAGACTCAGAGTCCATGTGTGATTAAAATATAAAGTTTGTACTAAATTCTAGCATGGGAAGGGTACCTGGGATGGAAAATAACAGAGCAAAATCTGCTACATCCTTACTCTACAAAGACTAAACTAGAAGAGTGAGTTTATGGCTACTCTTCTTCTTCTTCAGAACACCAAACAAAGATGGGAAGAGAGCCACAAAATGCTAATACACCTTGACACTTTAGTCCCAATCAAATTCCTAGATCAGGGAGAAAATTCCCGGGTATTCTACAGCTAAAGAACATTGGTTACATGAAAAACATGTGACTAACTGTGAGTAACATAAACATTTAACCCCAGATATACTGACTGTTTTCAACTTGTAATACCCAACAAAAATTAAAGTCCAGTAGCACCTTGAATATTACATTTTTGTCACTTCATCGTGTTGATTGACTCCCCACACAGGTCATCTGTACAAATACTTAAGAACAATGCAACTATGCGCCAATCCACTATGCAAAATAATATAGATATACAATACCTTTGTTTTCAGGCAGAACCCACTATTTCTAGAAAAAAAACATTGTGCAATGTCTGCAGAAATTTAGAAAATAAATTTATGGCTTTAGCTTGTGATGGAACCTGATGATACAGTCTTCAGCTATTTAACCCAGTTGCCTGAGTTCAGCCCAACCCATGAAGGCAATGGATGTTGCAAGGAGCTGGCAACCAAGGAGAACCTCATTCTAAAGGTATTTCTTCAGGTTTAGGGACTGGAAGTGCTGTCCCTGTTCGAAGGTGGCTGTCCAAGGTAGTCCTATATCAGAAATGGGGGATGTTTTCTTCTATGTAGGAATACAGTATGTGAAATACAATATAAAATATGCTGTGAACAATGCAAGAGGACTAGGAATACAAAATTAAGTGACAATGTGAACAGCAAACAGTCTAGGGCTGTATAGTGTGCAGAATGTGGAACTGCAGATCAAAATACAAACCACAATCCACATAATACCCTTTATTAGAACCAACCAAAGTGACACAAAACAATGTGCAATCTTTCAAACACTCCAGAACACTTCCTCAGGCTGGGTCATTCAAAATATGTCATCCAACTCTGGTGTTATCTGTTTTCTCAGTAATCCATGTGGTTGGATTGGTTTATCCAGCTCTGCCTTCCCACAACCTAATTGCCTTTGAATGGCCCCAAAGCAATGGTGAAGTGTGCCCACTGCTCTTTCTCCCTTGCATCCTATCCCCAAAGATGCTGCACAGATGAAGGAGAGGAGACATGGATGAGGGTAATAGATAGTATGCCGCTATGGCCCACTGGCAGTGAGCTAGGGGTCACCATAGTGTCCAATTGCTAACTGCTCATGTATGTACATTATTATTCATTTATACCCCACCTTTCTCCCCAGTGGGGACTCAAAGTGGTTTACATTGTTCTCTTGTCCTCCATTTTATCCTCACAACAAGACTGTGAGGTGGGTTAGGCTCAGAGTATGGTATTTGTTAGCACTAGTATTCAGTGGCAGGTGAAGAAAATTTCAGTAACTCCTTAACCTATACCAAAGGTAAGATGATTAGCCACCACATTTTTTTCAGCTTCCTCTTTTGTCAAAAGCAAAACTTGACTCTTGATTTTAACCATGACCTTCAAAAATGCAAAATTAGGTTAGCTAGAGGATGCACGTGAAAGTTGTAAGTGTAAATGTTCCTCATACGCCTTAGAAATTAGCCATGATGACATTATCAAAATGGAAGTGATATAATGGAAGAATACAAAACCACATACATTCATAGATTTGTTTGCATTTCTACAATAAAAATTAAATATAACTTCTCAACAAAGTCAAATGTTGTAGTTAGAAGTAAATTCATTTGCCAATCAAAAAAAGAAGGAAATGTGTTATTCAAAGGCTCATCATTTTACTGCCTCAAACCTTGTCTCCTACAGTATTCACCACTGCAAAAGGTAGCAATATGCAGTACTTCATGATCTTACTGGGAAGTTCTGTGAGGTTTTATCTTGGTCTCTTCCTGAATAATGCGTAAATGTAGCCTTTTGACAAGATCCCCTTGAGCCTATGTGTGTAGTGTCTCATTGTGCACAATATATTTCTCACCAGAGAGTTTGGCATCCTGACAATTGGGTCTCTCTTTCCTGTCAGGAAGGGGCTGTGGCTCAGTGGTAGAGCAGCTTCTTGGTAGCCCTGATCCTGCAATGACTCCCAGCTCACAGTCAGAGGTTGCCTGGTGCTGGGCTGCCAACTGCACACTACAGCACCGCTCCTGCGCCTCCCTCTGGGCCACAGTAGTTCTGCTGGTAGTTGTTATAGCACCATAAATACTGCTCTAATGTGACAGTTGTCCATTCTGGGGTCCATCAGAAGAGCTCTTGGCATTTCAGTAGTCTGGTTAATGGCACTGTGAGGCATGCAAAGTCTGGGAGTAGACCACTTGACTGCTTGCCCTTTCAAAAGATTTAGGATGAAGCAGACTTTGGTCTTTTCGTCTGGAAAATCCCAGGCTTGGAGCTCAATGTATAGCTGACATTTGGCCTGGAACATCAGGAACCCTTCCATATGCCTCTCAAACGTCTCCGGCAGGCTCACTAGGCATTCTCCTGGGAGCAGAACTACCAGTACAGGTAGCATTACCCCACCAAGCAGCAGAGGGGCAGCTGATTGCTTTTGTTGTAACTTCTGCTGAAGCAAAGCCAACACATTGGAAAACTGGACAGCTTGCTCCTGCAGTGCCTAGTTCTGCACAGCCAGGTTTGCAGCAGCTCCAGCCTCCATTCCTCAACAATGATTGAGCCTGCAATATGGTATAAGCAAACTTTCGTGGTTCAAGCAGGCACCTGAGCAAGAGCAATAAGCATAGTCCAAAAACAGTCCACTGTCAAAGCACAGATATTCAAAAGTCCAAGCATCAAACCAGAAGGGCAAACCCAAAGAGTACAAGCAAGGCCTTCCCTGAACATTTACCCAACTTTTGTCCAGTTTGGTTAAGCTGTTCAGGCCAGCCACTTAAACCTAACAGCTGAGTGGTGCGGGGTCCCCTGGGCTCAGCTGTTAGGTTTAAATGGCTGGCTGGCTGGCAGCCATTTATCCCTTTGGTTTTACACCCCCCTTCAAGGGGGGAAGCAAAACTTAACAGCTCAGTGAATCCACCAGTCAGCTGTTAGGTTTAAATGACTGCGAGCTATTTAACCTTTCAGTTTTGCTTTCCCCCTTCGAAAGGGGGGCGGGGAAGCAAAACTGTATCGCAGCCTAACAGCTCAGCTGGTCCACCACAGAGCTGTTAGGTTTAAATGGCTGCTGCAATCCATAACCCTTTGGTACATTTCCCTCCCTTTGAGGGGGAGAAGCTAAACCAAAGAGTCTGCAATGGAGCTGTTAAGTTTAAATGGCTGTGATCCATTTACCCTTCGGTTTTGCTCCCTCCCTTTGAAGGGGGAGGGAAGCAAATCTGAAAGGTTAAATGGATCACAGCTATTTAAACCTAACAGCTCAGCTGGTCTGCCATGGAACCGTGGTCTCAAAGTGATAGGAACAAGTGTCATTACAACAGAGGCTATCAGGTTGGTACACCATCTTTTTTATAGTCCCAGAAAGTATGGGGTCCCAAATGTCCTTTCATGTTTTTCTCAATTAAAGTAGTTCCTTTTATCGTTCCTAAAATGTATACATAGAATGCTATTTGTTTTACTAACATTGTAAGACTATTTGTCACATGTAGAAGTTGATGGGTAGTTTTGAAAGTCTATGAACTGAAGGAGGGGAGCATTCCGTAGTAGAAGAGGACATTGTCATCTCCTTCCGGGAATAATGGGAGAGGTGGTACCTAAGTATCAAGATGACCTCACTGCCATCACACAGAAGAAACATCCTTGGTGAATCCAGTTTTTCTTTCAGTTTCTCCATCTCATGTGATTCAGGCCCCATCGTTTCAGTCCTTGATCAGAGTCTGACTCTGGTTGTCATCCAAGTGTAGAATAATTGACTGAGGCTGAATTCTATCAAAATTGAAGAAATGTCCATTGATACGGCCTAGATGGAGTAAATTCTCTTATAATTTATTGGGCTACATCTTCTGAGTGGTAATCTGCTCCTGCTCTCTGTAGCACAAGGCAAATGCATGTGGAAAATGCAGGACAATTCATAGGAAGGATAATATCTGTGGGGCCCTGTTATGCAGAGAATAGACAAAGATTCCTTGGAGACCCCTTTCTTCCTCTGAATTGCATGCACTTTTTGACTCCCTGTAGATGGGCTGCTTACCATTAGAAATATTATCTCTGCCCTTTTAATGCAAATTAGTGCAAATTTTTATATTGGTATTGCTCGTAGTACTGATTTTATTTTTAAATAGTTGCACAGTAAAATTCTACCCAAAAAACACTGAAATTTTCCAAATAGCAACCTCTTTCACCACAAAGATGACAGAAGATACATGTGCATGTCGAATCATCATCTGTATTACCTATCCTGAATCAGCTCAGTTTCTCAAACTGCAGCTTCAGTCTTCTGTGTCCCCCTTCTTTGCTTGCTTTCCCATGGTTTTGTGGCATCTGATATTTTTATGGACACTAATACATTCAGAATCTCATTCCATTCATGCATGGATATCCATTCCAACAGAATTATAAAAACATGAGGCTGCATAGCTAACTAAGTGAATCAGGACAGTTCAGTGAATCAAAATTATGCACTACCCAAGGTCAAGTGCAGTGTTCCCTCTAAGCTGAGTTAGTGTGCGCTAGCTCACAGTTTTTTAGCCTCCAGCTCACACAGTTTTGTCTTAGCTCAGGAAGGATTCATGCAGTAGCCAAATCACTCACTCACAGCTTCAAGGCCAGTATCTCACAAAGGCAGGGAAAACACCCGGCAAAGCGCGGCTAAATAGAGCCGCACCAAAAGAGAGAGGCGCGGGCGGGATCCCATGGATCCCGTGCACCGCGCGCTGTTGCTCCCCGGCACGATCAGATGCCAGGGAGGTAGGGACGCTTGGGAGGGGGAGGCTTCCAAACTGCGTATGCTCATGCATGCGCAGTTCGGCTGGGGGCCGGGGATGCGCCGGCGGCAAGACACGTGATGCGGACCTACCAGATGAACCACCTAGGTAGGTGGTTCATGTTTGCTGCGGGGCTGTCGGGGGAAGGGCCGGATCGGGAACAGGCCTGCAACACTTCCCAGATGTTGCGGTGGGATCATGCCTGTTTGCTGCGCCCCCGATCTGGCCCACTCCCGATCCAAAACCCCTCGTGAGAACAGGGCCAGAGCTTTGCCCTTTGTGACTTCTCCCCAAATGTGGGGCCTATTGCACATTTTTTGCTAGACCCTCAAGTTGTGGTGAGCTGTTCTTAGTTATTTCCCAGTGGTCAGGTTTTGGGCTCCAGATTACGTCAGCCTTAATTTATATAACTTGTTTACTTCAAAACATTTCTCTGCATTCTGTTTACTTATCAGCTCCCCACATGTCAGCCTTCCTTCTTCCCACATCTAGCACCTTGATTATATAAAGGCATAATTTCACACACCTTAACGTAGAACACAGTTTGCCATGTTCTTGACACTGGAAACAACAGGTGTTCCTTAAAGGAGACTCTTCAGATTTTAAAAGGGTTTCGGGGACTTTCTTTGCGGTTTTCTTGCCACTTTGATCTGTTCTTTCATTACTATGCTCTACACTGTTGAGTTCATCTTTCCCTGAGAGCTCAATCAGTGATTTAAGTATCCGCACACCAGGGGGCGAATTGAGAATTAGATATATAGATTGGTCAAGTGTATTGTAGGGGGATGCATCATTGAATGTGTGTGGTGGCACAAGAGTTTTGTTTTCACAGAAGTAAATTCCAGTGAGTTCAACAGAATCCATGAAGTATGCCTAGGATTGGGGTCCTAACCTCTCTGTTTCTTTTGTTCAATGTGTTGGGTCTATTTGATGACAGAAGAGCGAGTGGAAAAAATCTGCTGTGTTTAAGGAGGAACATAAATAAAGTAAAATAAGGACTGGGCGGTCCTTGGCAAGTTACAAACCAGCATAAATACTAGAACATTTGTAGAGGAGTGGGAAGCTACCTGAACAATGTACAAAGCACTGCAGCTGTGTCAACTCAATTCACTCTAGCTGTACTTTAGTTGTACTGGAAGGAGTAGAGAATGAATGTTAGATTAAATAATTTATGGTAGGCTACTTTAAAAAAAACCCTGTTTATTGCATTTATTTCTATAGTACAATCATTGTTCCCCCTTCTTCCCTCCATAGGGACTCATGAGTTGCATCCATGTAAGACAGAGGCAAATATAAGGATGTCCATAAAGTATTGTTTCCCCCCAGCCATTTTAAAAATGTTCCTCTGAGGTCTTGGATTTTGGCATTTTAAAAGACAATTTTTTGTAATCTGGCTATTTAGCCTTATGGACATATAGTCCTTATACATAAAGATCAAAGCAGTTGAATGAGACAACTGTTTGCTTAATGAAAAGAAGAAAGCCAACAGTAGTGACTCTCCTTGTTTTTCATTTTATCGGCTGTGGAGAAAAAAAGTAATTCCCATTAAGGATCTGTGGCAGTGTTGATAGTACAGCTATTTCACTCCTCCTGTGTTGAATAGCTACAGAGCAGAATCAAACCATCCCTGATCATATGACCTAATGGTTGTAAATAGGCTGTGAAGATATTTTCTGGGGGTACTCCAGTGGAAAACACACAGGGATTTCACTTTCAGTTTATTTCACTTCAAAGGCTTCATTTGCCCGTTTTCTTTACAATGGCAAGGATTTCTCCTCTACTGAAAAATCACCCTTTCCCTTCTGGGCTAGATGCAAAGCCAACCCACAAATGCTGCTCTGTAGGGATAAAGGAAGGGGGCATGGAAGTGCTTCCTTTTCTCTTTTTAAAGATGTCAGTCCATTAGCCAGTCTCAGCTTGGTATATGTATCCTGGGATGATCACAGGTTTCTTCTAATTTGGCAACCGTGGTCTCTTCAGTGCCTGGATCAGGCTTTTGCCAATTAAGTTGCAGGAATTTCTCCATCAGGTCAGCGCCCAGGTTGAAGATCAGAGCAAGCCAAACTAAGCCAAAAACAATCCAAATTGCTGCCAGGCCTCTGTACGCGGAGATGTAGTGCTTGTTGGGATCTGTGCCTAGGAATAAAATGCACAGAAGACTCATATATTAGATCTTATTCCTCTGTGAACTGAAATAATACCCCAATAGAATGCAAACAATGCACATAGATATATATATACACATACACACATTTGAAACCACACATGCATACAGATACGAAAACATGCACAGTGAATATTAGGTGTTAGATCCCATCTAAGTTCCATGCACAGAAGTATGGCTCCCCCCTCCCCTTTCCCAGTGTAGCCTGAAATCCCCCTCAAAGTGCTGCTACTAGAGGCTGGGGACATCTCCAGGAGCAATATGAGAGGGGAGTTGAAGGGCTGCTGCAGTAGAGAGAAAGTCTGCAAAAATCGCCTCCCCCTTGCACATGTGTGTCTTTTCTATGGGATCCTACTCATACAATGCAATTCTGAGGGTGGGGTGCGAAAGTGCTCTGGGAGCCAACTTACTCCTACTTTGGCGTACGTCTCAGTTATGTCAGGGTAAGTCTAGTTATGTCGGTGTAACCAGCACTTACAACAGTGCAGGGCCACTGCAGCGCCCCATTGCTCATGGGCACCGGTAGTGGGGTATGGTGGCCAGCCAGTGGCACAACTAAGGCACAGGCCTCTGCACTGCTGTGGTTGTGGGTGGTGTTGGGGGCATGGCTGGAGTTAGTCAGCTTCCTGACTCTTTAAGCCTGGGAATGTCCCCTGCCTGAAGCGGAAAGTTACGCCAGCCAAAAAAAGGGTGTAGTCCATAGGCGCCCATGGATTGCAAAAATAAAGTCTTCTCCCGCTGCTGCATCCCCACCCATTAGCCTTGGAGGAGTTCAGGATGCCAAGCCCCCTCCCCAGCACCCAATCGTGGCCCCCTCCAACCTACAAAAACTTCTGCCAGGACCTTGTACAGATCAGTGGTTAGGGTGTGAGGCAGGGGACTCTGTCTCAGAGCTCCCTGCCGTGTGGACTTTGGTGGTGGGTGATGCACAGAGAGGTCACTTTAGCACTTCAGGGCAAGCACTTGGTGCTGACACCCAAGTAGGAGAGTCAAGTCCATACTGCATGGCTGACCTCTCCCCTTTCAGAACCCTAACAAGTACTCCACCTTTGGAGGCTTGGCTCACAGGGGCACCCACAAACTGACAGGTAAACACAGGCAAACCTGCTCCCCCTCTCCCCTCACATGAGGTGAGGCACCATGACAGTGTATCCTGCACTCAAGCCCAACATTGAGTTCAGGCATGGGGTGGCGGAAGCCGCCGCTGTGCAGCGTCATGGCCCTAGACATGCCATGGGGAAACTGCCCTGGAAAGTTTTCCATGAGACTCAGCAGGGCACAGGGTGTGTCTGTGGTTGGGGGGGCGGTCTGGCAGCTGCTCCACTGCTTGTGGTGAACCAGCTTGGCAAGTGTCCCTTTAAACCATTTCCTTGCTGATTCACAGCCTTCAGCTGGAGCTCCTGTGGGGGGATGGATTGCAAGTCATCCGGGAGCACTTGGCCATACAACAGGTGAGTGTGAGTTGGCAGGCTCCATCATGCACATCAAGGGAGGGTTGTGGTGAGCCCCCCCCCTTCTGGGGCTGTATTTGCAGACCCTGTCAGGACAAGACATCTATGGCTGAGGCCGTCATGACACTCACACCCAGTTGCCATGGCTCTGTTTTACTGTCTTGCAGGTGGAGATTCAACAGAGAGGCTTGTGGGTGTGGCAAGTCCCCCCCCCACTCTACTCAATCAGCTGTTCAAGCCCTCCTCTAGAAGCAGAGCTTTGCGCCCAGCCAACCTTTCCAAATTCTACCTGGGATACTATCCCACTTAGGCTCATGCCATGCTGGGCACCCTCAGTCCCCAGAGTGGAACTGGATGGAGTCCTCACCACTTGCCATGGATTCCAGTGCAATAAAGTCTATGTTGTGGCCCAACTTTGTCTCTGCTGCTTGGTTCCTGCTACATGGCCAGAGCTCCACACCCCTCCCTGGCCCACTCCCTCCCTACCCCATTTGCCACTTCCTCTGTGGGCTTCCTGAGGGAATGTCTGAGAGAGAGGGCTTGCCCGCCTCACAGGTTTCTGTGTGAAGGGGGAGAGGCCAGAGGGTGGTCTGAGTGACTAAGTGACCTCATCACACTGGCTTGCAGGGGGGGGGGACCTGGATGCATCCCATCTCTTATCCAAGAAGAAAAAGTGCTGTTTGTTGATCCTGTACTGCCTGGTATGGATCTGTTAGTAAAGCAATAAATACTACTCAGAAGCAATATTCATTAGGCTAACTTCAGCATTCATATTGTACTTAAGTTGGTTGCTCTGTGTCTGCTTTGAGCAAGAGCATACTTTATACCAGTGCTTTTGTTTACCTACTACATAGTCTCCAAATCCGATGGTGCTGAGGGTGATAAAGGTGAAGTAGAACCCTTCTCCATAACTCCAGCCTTCCACATAACTGAAGATCATTGGTGGGAAAACCAGAAAAAGCAAACTCCCGGCTATTAGAAAGAGTCCCATTGCTAGAGTCTGTGCCACCTGAGAAACAAATGGAGGAAAATATCAGTTTAGTAGCAATGAGCACCTGCTTGATATGGTTTCATCCAGTAGATAAGAGTTTAGAATACCCCAAGTGCCATCTTAGCTAAGGGACTCTAAGTTCTTCCTGATTTTTGTCTAGACTGCATCAGCACCAAAACGTATTAAACCTAGAGACTGGTAAAATGAAGTCTCGAGCTGTAGAACTTCTCTTACTCCTTCTTGGACCTATTCTCCTTGGAGTGGTTTTCTTAAAATAGGTAGGTGAATCTGATCTGCATAAGTTGTGGAAGAGACTGGACAAGAAGAAGTGAAGGCTGAAGGACTCTGAATTGTGCCTTTGAAAAATTTTGAATTGAGATGCTTTGGGGTATTTCCTTATATCAGTTAAAATTAAGATTTGGGAAAAGTTAATAGAATATGTGACTCAGTTTGTAATGAGATTAATATGATTAAGACTAGATGTGTATTCAAGCTGATTAGAAGATCTCCTCTCTTGGGTTTTTAGTCAGTAGTGGGTATCTTTTCTTTATCCCCTAAGTGTAGTCCCCTCCGTTATTTCTGTTATAGTTTGTAGTTTAATAAAAATGCAATACAAATTCCCCATTGGGGAGCAAAAAACCCCACAACTAATTGCCAAAGGCTCTATATTGTATTTCTTAATTGTTCAATAGGCTGCCTATGCTGTTTTAAAAGCTAAGCTAGCTGTGGTTTGGCATAAAGTTGACCTAGAAATTGATATGCCCAGTAGTTCAGGAGGCCCCTCACCACCTGTGAAATGTCAGGTTATGCACCACATGGTGCCTTAATCCGGGCATTACAGGCCATGGCTGGTTGGCTTAGACTGAGCTGGCTAAAACTGAATCCAACGAAGATGGAGGTCCTATGCCTGAATTAGGGTGATCTGAGATTAGGGATCCCACTCCTGACCAGCACCAGAGGTTAGGAGTCTGGGAGTGCTCCTAGATGCTTCCCTAACAATGGAGGCCCAGGTAGCAGCCACTGCCAAATCAGCCTTTTACCATCCTCGGCTCATCAGGCAGTTGGTTCCCTTTCTCAAATGCAACGATTTGGCAACAGTGATCCATGCGATGGTCACCTCGAGATTGGATTACTGTAGACTTCTGGTGGATGGTGGCACGCTGAGCAGTTGCATCTCCTGGACCTCCTGGGGATGCGAGCTGCGCACGAGCGGGAAGGAGGGGGGTACACAGGCTCTTTGCCCCCCAAGAGGCCCGGCGAAGGGCTTCTAGCCATGGGGCTCTCGAGAGGTCGCCTCTTCGCCAGCACGACACTGGGGAATTGAGGCGCCTCTTTGCCCCGATGGTCCCTCCTGCGAGTGTCCGTATGGAACCTAGTGACACTGACTGGGACAAGCGCTGGGGATCGAACGGTCGAATCAGAGACTAAGCGAGGTCGGAAGACCAATATGAACGTGAGTCAGATTAAAGCGTCTTTGACAATCTAAAAAGAAAGCTCCCCACCCCACAGACCGAGAAGTGAAGTGAGCGGGGGGAGGGGCCTCTCCCATGCGCATGAACTTTTAAACGGAAAAACAGGGGGGAGCGGAAGCGTTGAAATCTGTTGAGAAAAACATACCAAGGCATGTATAAGCGTTTGAGTGCACATTCAGAGACAGCGAAAGTAAACAATCGATAAAAGATGGCGGGGAAGAGGACGAAGAAGGAGAAACTTTTAAAAGTGAAAGGGGAGAGCCCAAGACCGGAAGGAACCACCGAGCTGGCTAAAATGTTGGCAGAATCTCTGCGCCCCCTGCTGGAACAGATGACTAACGTCAAGGAACAGTTGTCTACAATGACCAAATGTATCACCACCCAGCAATTACAAGTGAATGAGACTCTTAAAATCACAGAGCAAACAGCTGAGAAGGTGAAAGAAGTTGACGCCACTACCCAAAAGGTGAAGAAAAAGGTACAAAAATTGGAAAAGAAGCAAGTCTCCACAGAAGAACAACTTTTACAGCTGCAAATGGAGAAGGCAAACCTGGTCCTCCTATTCGGGGACAGCACCATCAGGATCCTTAAAGACATCTCATTTGGAATAAGACAACGGAGAAGAAAATACAAAGATTTAATCCTTTTTCTTCAAACAAACGCAATTAGTTACCGGTGGTTGTACCCAGAGGGCGTAACCTTCAAACTTCAAGACAACAAGGAAAATATTGACTCTGTTTCCAAAGCATGGGACTTTTTGAAAATCCAGATGGGCGAGCAAGAGAAAGGTGATAAAGAGGACAGTAAGTCCAGTGGCGAGCTGGACTCAGGGTCTTCTGGAGAGGACTCTCTGTCAAAGAAGGGGGAAGCGGCTCCTAAAAGTCCTTATAAACTGCGAAGAAGACAGGATAAGAAGAATCCTCAAAGACCTGGAGAAGCTGACGTCATCTAGCCAAGCCGAAGTGAATATGCCGCCGGAACACGTCTGACCCTGCAGCTGAACAAATTCCCGCTGGTTGCAAACGTGTGTGATTTAAAAAGATATATGTTGTCCTCCCTTACCCCCATAAATCATTGTTAGTCCCGCGTGAATGAGTAACTGTAAATCGCTCAGAGCCAGCAAGCTCTGCAGGATTGAGCGATTAATAAATTGAAAGATTATTATTCTTATTATAAATGAAGGCTGAAGGACTCTGTATTGTGCCTTTGAAAAGGGTTGATAGTAACGAGATGCTTTGGGGGTTTTCTTTTTAACAGTTAATTTAAGATTCAAACGTTGTATTAGCAGACCTGACTAAGTTCAAAAAATTGTTAGCGAGTTTAGAACTGACTTTGTACTTAAGCGATTTTGAGGATCTCCTCTCTTGGGATTTTAGATAGTAGTGGGTATTTTTTTCTTTATCCCTAATAGTAGTTCCCTTTCCTTATTTTCATTGTAGATTTGTAGTCTTTAGAAAAATGTAATTAAAAAATCCCCTTCGGGGGGCCAAAAAAAAAAAGATTGGATTACTGTAATGCCCTCTATATGGGGCTGCCCTTGTCTCAAATCCAGAAGCTGCAGCTGGTGCAAACTGCCGCGGCCAGGCTTTTGATGGAACTCCCTATTTGGGCGCACATCCAGCCTGTACTGAAGGCATTGCACTGGCTGCCTATAGCATACTGGATTTGATTCAAGGTGCTGGTTCTTACCTTTAAAGCCCTTTATGGCCAGGGACCTACATACCTGAGGGACTGCCTTTCCCCACATATACCCCAGAGATCACTGCGATCAGGGGTTCAGAACCAGCTGGCCCTTCTGAGTCTTAATGAGGCCAGGCTAGTAACAAGTAGGGCCAGGGCTTTCTCGGTGGCGGCTCCACTCTGGTGGAATGAGCTCCCAGAAGAGATCAGGGCCCTGTGGGACCTTTTGCAATTCTGCAGGGCCTGTAAAACAGAGCTCTTCCACCAGGCTTTTGGAGTCACCACCACCGTTAACAACTGACAGCTTAGATAGGAGAGCCCTGTTCCCCGCGGGATCTTTAAATATAGCCTGAGCCAGCCACCTAAGATGACCTAAGAAGACTAGAGGGCTGACTGCAAACTGTGTAACAACTACCACTGTGAAATTATGAAATTGATACTAGCATTTTATTATATTTATGGTTTTAGCACTGTTTAATTGTTGTATGTTGTTCCTAATCTATTTTATGCGTATTGTAAAAAAAATTAGGTGTTTTACGTAAGCCGCCCTGAGCTGGCTTCAGCCGGGAGGGCGGGATAGAAATCTAATAAAATCAAATCTTGTGTGTTTAAATCTCTGTGCATTACAGACAAGATAAATCTGCTTCTGAATTTACACCTAAGCACCCTTCTAAGTACATAGAAATCAGTAGGCTTATAAGGGTTTAACTCTGTTAAGGATTGAACTCTCAGAGATTTATCTTCTACAGATCATGGGAAAGGACTTGAATACTGCAGAATGACAATTCTAGCAACTTATAGTAACAAACTTAAACTTTTCCCAGGCAAAAATCAGGACAAAATAGGGGCAGTGATTTACCAGGTAAGGAACCCCTCCCACAATAAAGATGGCTGCTACTAAATAGGGACAAGGCATGTTGCTCAAGCCTGACTTGGAAGCAATTATATGGAATTAGGAGGTGCAAAGATTAATCAGAAAGGAGGTGAATGGGAATACTGATACATTCAGTGTTGAGAATCCTCATCAGAGATCTTCTTTAGTCACCCCTCATTCAAAAGTGAAGGTTGTACTTCTCTCTGGAAATGGTATAATTTCTCTGGAATGCCCTGTCTAGTAAGATGTGCTTAGCACCAGTGTTCTCTCTAAGCCAGGGGTGGCCAAACTGTGGCTCGGGAGCCGCCTGCGGCTCTTTCACACATACTGTGTAGCTCCTTGCAGGGCGGCTGGGGAAGCGAAATATCATTGGCAAACAAATATCATTGGACAAATAAACATCATTATCAATATCTGCTTTTACCACTTTTGTTGTTATTTTTGGCAGTCTCAGTTAATGTTAACAAAAAGCAAATCTGCATATTTCCCAGTATAAAACGTAATATTTGTTCCTGTCTCGCGGCTCTCAAACATCTGACGTTTCTTCGATGTGGCTCTTATGTTAAGCGAGTTTGGCCACCCCTGCTCTAAGCTGAGTTAGTGTGAGCTAGCTCACAGTTTTTTAGCCTCCGGCTCACACATTTTTGCCTTAGCTCAGGAAGGATGGCTCCAGAGCAAACTAATTTATGCAGCAGCCAAATCGCTCGCTCACAACTTTAATGCCAGTAGCTCACAAAGTAGAATTTTTGCTCACAAGACTCCACAGCTTAGAGGGAGCATTGATTAGCACCATCACATGAACCATTTAGGAGCGATGGGGGGTGGGGCTACGGCTCAATGACACAGTTGACACTCGGAATCTCTCCCGGGTGTCACCGGCTCTTTGTTCTTTTTAGAGGAGTTTTGGGGGGATCCCAAGCTCCACTGGACCTTCTGGAGGAAGGGTGGGTGCAAGGGACTTGATCTGGGGGCCCCGTTTGTGGCAAAAATGGGTTGTAGACCTGGATCATCCAGAAGCAAAGAATGAAGCAGCATAGTTATGGCAGCCATAACTGTACCAGTTGTGTATGCCCTGGAATCATGAGACATCGATGACATCACAAGACATCGATGAAGATACTACATTGTAAGTAACTGGAAACGCAACATAGAAGAAGCGTAACTTGCCCTTTAAGCCTGTTTAAATGATAAAAGGACTTGGGAAGGAGGGTGAGACTCCCCTCCCTTCCCTCACGGAGCGGCTGATTTACATAAAGAAACCTCAGTGAGACACACCTTGGGGCAAAAAAGAGACTTTTGTTTGAGCTTTTATAAAAGAACTTTAGAACTTTTCTTTAAAAAAGAAGGAATGAAAAAGAGTTAACTGGAGTTTGATTCTCTTACTATGTGGTGACTTTTGATGATGTCATGCCTTAGTGTTGGGAACAGATGAGCTTGTTGTATCTAGTATTTCCAGTGGGATCTAAGCAGCGGATTTGTATTGAAGAATCCCTATTGCCAATATAAATACTAGAGACTGTGGATCTTGCCAAGTTCCTTGACACAGCTTTAAAAATGGAGGGGCAGGAATTAAAAAGTAAAAAACCAGATGATGTGCCCTTGAGTAGCTCCTTAGAAAACAAACAGCTGCAAATGTCCTGGGAGGAGCTTACGGACAGGATGGTGATCGATCTTACCCTCGCTTTTAAGAACACACTAAAAACTGCAATGGATGAACTAGCTGTAACATTGAGTCAAACTGTAAACCAGATAATGGAACTTCAGCAGCAAAGAAAACAAGAAGAAGAACAGCCCCATTTACAAATTATGCAAGCAACAAGAGCATTACAAACAACTGGATGTAACCTATAAAGAAAAGGATCTTCAACACTCCAAAATGCTAGACGCAGAACAAATCTACAATCAAGATGACCAAATCTATAAAACGAAAAACAGACTGACTAAAAGACTGTTGGAATCCTCCAAGCCACACTTCAAAGAAGAGACGAAACAGAAGTGAAGAAAAACAGATCTACCAAAAGACTGGCAAATCTTGGAATCCTCCAAGCTACAATTCAAAGAGAAGAGGAAACAGAAACACTGGAAACCTTAACCACCTTAAAATTTGACAATAGAGGGCGATAAGCCAAAAGAGACCCCCTCTACCTATAAAGAACAAAGGCACAGATGGATGATTTTTATTAAAAAGAATTATAAAAAGAAGAGAAGAGAATTTTTAAAATAAGACAGACCCAGAGAATCTGTGCTTTAGTATAATTGACTAAGACGAGCTAGGGGGAATTGTATTTGTAATTATAATTTAAATTTACTTTTGGGTTTTAGGCATTTACAAAGTATAGCCTATAGTAGAAATTTGGGGAGATTGTAAGATTTGTTAAAAGATTTTTATAAACAGAAGATATATTAAATTGTATATATTTTTAAAAATTAAAAAGGAGGAAACTAGAATACAAATGTTTATTTGAACAAAATTGGTAAGAGAAGGATGTTTAGGAAAGAAACATAACATGGAATTGCAGAGAATGTATTCATAAAAGTATTATAATGATTAGAATAAAGTTAGCATAGAGAACTTTATTGTAGAAGCTTAAACAGGAGAGAACTTGTTATTATTAGAAATGAAATTTGTAGATTTGTAGATTATGTTATTTTAAGATATATGTGTAGTTAGACCTATAGAATAGAATTATTAAAAAGCTAGATTGCTAAACATAGAGGTGCAAAAATAAAAGTACCTATTGGGGTGAAAAGTGATTTACAAACACATGTACAAGGGTGATTTAAAAGATATGATGAAGCTATTATTATTCTCATGTATGTTTGTTTGTCTGTCTAAAATAAAATTTATTTTTTAAAAAAAGCATTTAGGAGCTATCTGAAAAACTATTTGATTCCCCTCTCCACTATTTTTAGTCCCTAATTCCGTTTTGTTTTTGGAGATGTGGGGTGTTAATGTTTTGGGGTAAAGTGAAAACACTAGAATGTCAGTTTTATGGCAGTATGAAAAGGCCTGTGATTTAGAAAGTTCCAAGAGTGTGTTCAGGATCTGTAATTGCCATGGATCCTGACAAGTAGAATCTTTGTTTGTACTAAATAGGGTAGCCAACAGGCCTAGACAGAGATGTTTCTGTCCCTGTTCCTTTAATAGCTATGTAACATGTGGAAATAGGCAGTTGAAGCTTTTCATGGCATGGAAGTAAAATAAATCACCTAGTAAATAACATCCCATTAAGTATCTATTAAAAAGACAGTATATTTTTTTTCTAGGCCAGTTGGAAACCCTTCTACTAAATCAAAATACAAGAGGAAGGAAATCTTGTTTCTGGAAAATACAAAGTTGCCCTTCCCTCTAAGTTGCATCAACAAACCTGAAACAGCAAATTATTTAGGTAAATGGCATGAATCAGCTGCATATTTTTATTAAGTCATATGAAGTTCAGTCTTGCTTCCTGTTTCCAGAATTTCAGAACTTGTTGCACATTGTGCACATTAACTTCCAGAGACCAAGAGACCAAAATATGTTGTATGGAGGCAGGAACCTGGGTTAAATTACTGCATTGCATTCTGGGCTGCTTTTGAAGGTGGTTTGGAAGTTACAATTGATATGCAATACAATAGCAAAACTGCTGACAGGAACACATTACATGGGAATGTATTATTCCAATTTTAAGAGAGCTACATTGGCTGCCAATTGAATTATGGGTCCAGTTCAATGATACCAAACTTCACAGCTACATGGTTTCAACTTGAAAAATAGCCAGACCACCTCACATGTCTCTTGAGAAACCTGTATAAGGGCCAAGAAGTGACAGTTAGAACTGGATATGGAACAACTGATTGGTTCAGCATAGGAAAAGGAATACGACAAGGATGTATATTGTCACCTTGCTTATTTAATATATATGCAGAGTACATCATGCGAAATGCTGGCCTGGATGAATCACAAGCGGGAATTAAGATTGCTGGGGAAAAGATCAACAACCTCAGATATGCAGATGATACCACTCTAATGGCTGAAAGTGAAGAGGACCTAAAGAGCCTCTTGCTCAGAGTAAAAGAGGAAAGCGCAAAAGTGGGCTTGAAGCTCAACATCAAAAAAACTAAGATCATGGCATCCGGCCCCATCACTCCTTGGCAAATAGAAGGGGAAGTCGTGGAAGTAGTGACAGACTTCACGTTCCTGGGATCCCAGATCACCACAGACTGTGACTGCAGCCATGGGTCCCGGAATCCCGCGGCGGGCCTCTGAGCATGTGCAGAGCGCTCCTCCCTTCGCCAGCGCCCCCCGCCGCTCAGTAAGGCGCCGGCCCGGGGATGCAGCCGCCGGGGCAGGCGGAGATCCACGCCGGGGACCGGCTGAGCGGGGCGGCCACCCGGGGGGACCTGCCTGAGGTCCGGCGCCTCCTGCAGCACGAGATGGTGCACCCGGACGCGCACAACCGCTTCGGGAAGACGGCGCTGCAGGTCATGATGTTCGACAACGTCTTCATAGCCCAGGAGCTCCTGAAGCAGGGGGTTAGCCCCAACGTCCAGGATGAGTCGGGCACGGCCCCTGCCCACAACGCTGCCCGCACCGGATTCCTGGACACCCTGAGCATCCTGGTGGAACACGGGGCAGATGTGAACGTCCCGGACGCCTCCGGCTCCTTGCCCCTGCACGTGGCCATCCAGGAAGGACACGCCGACATCGTAGGCTTCCTGGCGCCTCGGTCCAACCTGCGCCACCGAGATGCCGAGGGGCGGACGCCGCTGGAGCTGGTGCGACATCTGGGGCTGACCGACCTCCAGGGCCTCCTTCAGTAGCACTTCTCCGGCCTCGCCTGACCCAGCCGTTTCTTGGGTCGGCATCAGCACTGAGTCAGCTCAGGCCTCTCCCTAGACGGCCTCGAGCCCTGGAACAGAGACAGCTTTCCCCGTCCTTCCTACCTCATGCTCTGTGTTCAATGGCCTTTAACATTGTTTCTCTGTATATTATTTTTGTGGGCTCTCTTCTCTTCTGATTTCTCCGAGTCTTTCGAATCTTGCTGGTTCCTTGAGAGCTGGAGGTCCCCTCGGGTGGACCACGCAAGCTTGCCTTCTGGCAAGATGCGGTCTCATCATTTTGCACTCTCTGGCTCCACAGATCGGAGGTGTGGCCTGACCCCCCTTCCTTTGTACGCTTCCGGGACTTGCTCGGCACCGACCTGGATGGAATCTGGTCTGTCCATCCCTGTTGAAGTCCCCACCCACCCTGTGAGCTTTCCCTAATTCGTGGTATGTTCTGGCTCTTATAGTCAGAGCAACTGTTTCCACCAGGCCTCTGGATGGCTACTCGTGCCCTTCACACCAGTGTTGGAAGTGTGTACTGAATATGTTCAATTTGACTGAGATGTTTTATGCTTGTTTTTTATTGGCAGCTTGTTCCCTGTAATGAATTTGTGGATCTGAGCTATGTTCATAGTCGATTTCTAAGGAAGGAAATTCTTATTTTTAATTTATTGTGATTTGCAAGGGTTTGTTTTATGGAATGATTAATTTACTTATTAAAAAAAAATGAAATTAAAAGACACCTGCTCCTTGGGAGGAAAGCGATGGCGAACCTAAACAGCATGATAAAAAGTAGAGACAACACCCTGCCAACAAAAGTCCACATGGTCAAAGCAATGGTATTCCCAGTAGTCATGTATGGCTGTGAGAGTTGGACTATAAGGAAGGCCGAGCGCCGAAGAATAGATTCTTTTGAACTATGGTGCTAGAGAAGACTCTTGAGAGTCCCTTGGACTGCAAGAAGATCAAATCAGTCAATCCTAAAAGAAATCAACCCTGACTGTTCCCTGGAAGGCCAGATAATGAAACTGAAGCTCAAATACTTTGGCCACCAAATGAGAAAGGAGCACTCACTGGAGAAGACCCTGATGCTGGGAAAGATTGAAGGTCAAAGGAGACGGGGACGGCAAAGGATGAGATGGTTAGACAGTGTCATCGATGCAACGAACATGAAATTGAGCCAACTTCAGAGGACAGCGGAAGACAGGAAGGCCTGGCGGGAGCTGGTCCATGGGATTGCGAAGAGTCGGACTCGACTGTGCGACTGAACAACAACAACAACGAAACCAAGTAGTCTTGCTACTTCTGAGCATTTTTGGAGACTGTACAAAATAAGGACAAATCCTCACCTTTTGGCTGAGTTCCAGGTTTGCTGCTGGTTCCTGACCTCACAAGCATTTGGGAAGCGACAAGACGTCTCTTCACTTCTGAGTACCTTCAGAGTCCAATGTGAGGAGGAACAGGTCCCCAACTTACCTGGGGGGGCATTTACACAGGGGTGGGAAGGGTGGCTTGCCAGGCTGTATGTCATCTTGTTTGGCATGCATGTGGCCACATGGCTTGCCTGCCCCCCCCCTGCACATCCCTCTCCCAGATGGCCAATCAGGGACAACCTGAACTGTCTTTGGGGAGTGGAGCCCGGCAGGGGGACCTGAGGCAGCCAGTTTTCATGCTGCTCTGTCCACCAAACTTACATTTGGCCTCCCGGGGGCCTGGACCACATTTCTGCTCTGTGGTTTTCCCACCCAACTCTCCCTTTCTTTGGTTGAAAGGCAGGCTAGAAACATTTTAAATAGAAAGAGACAGATAATATAGGAGCACTTGCCTCAGAGTGACAATGTAATGTTACTTTGGGGTAAAGACTGAGAGATACTGTGTTGAGTTTACGTGAGTGCCTGTCATGTGTTGAGAGCAAGGAGCTTTCCACCAACCCAGAGCAAAGGCAGTGGACACCCAGTGTGGAATAGGACACAGGTGACCCAGGTTTGAATCCCCACAGTGCCATAAGACTCACTGGATGACTTTGAGCCAGTCACTATGATTCAACTTAACCTTCCTCACAAGGGTGTTGTGAGAATAAAATGGGGAAGGGAAAAACATGTGTGCTTCTTGGGGTAAGTAGAGTATAAAAATAAACAAGATAGAATAAGAAAGAAAATGAGAAGGCTCTGAGAAATAGAACTGCTGTACTCCTTCTCCCTTGGGACCTAAGCCAGGTTCTTCTAGGTCTTCAGAAAGTCTTCTCTGTTTCTAAGATGGCTCCCGCTCCTCCATGAAGCCACACCATAACGTCTCCCTGTAACAATCAGTGCAGCTTCTTCCTAGTGCTTCTTTCCGATTACAGAACTTTTAAGTTCAACTCTGCATAGGAGATTACAGAACTCTTCAGTTCAACTCTCTCCCTTCCCCCCAAATAGTCAATGCCTCCAATACTCTTGGCCTCAAGAGAGAATGCAACAGCCAGATGAGATGTGGTCAGTCTAAGAAACACCTGCCTGCTCTAAGATGATTTTTGAAAACCACATTTGAAAAAAGCAATGAAAACATAACCATGACAAATGAAACACTGTACCCGGGCTCGGCCTGGCTTGTGGACCCATTTCTCCAGGTTGATCAAGTGAGTACTAAGTCCTTTCCCCAGCTGATTGAGAAATGCCAGGTTAAGGGGTACCCCAAATAATGCATAGAATACACAAAACACCTGTCCAGGCATGGTGCTGGGGGCCAAGTTCCCGTATCCTGCAAAAAAGCACAAAACAACACAGATAGTCACAGTCTCTTGATGGGGCTCAGAATCTGCTTCACTACTCTAAGGAACCCCAACACCTTCCTAGTTTCTTTTTTAAAAAGTCATACTCAAGCCAAACTTTGTTACTTAATATTACCATTGATCTGAACTGCACTGGCAATTTTTTCATTGAAATCAAGGAGGGTAAAAGTAACCAACTTTGGCCAGTTTATTAAGCTGAAGGTTTATATAGCAAAAACACAAGCAAAATTGTCATCTGTTCCATTTTTTTATGGCCAAATAATTAGACATAGGAAAGGTATATATTGGATTATGGTTGTTGGTTGAAACTATGGTCTTTTAAACATACATTGCAATGACTAAGACCCTTCTGACAAAGCTTTGGCAGGCAGGACTACTTTGTACCATCACTTGAAAATAATCCAGCTCCCTACAGGACATTTTGTGGGAGCCCGAAAAGACTTCCACACATGCCAAAATAGAGGTTACCTTACCTATGGTGGTGACGACAGTCCCAGCAAAGAAGAAGCTGTTGCTGAAGTCCCAGTTGCTGGGATTGGTTGAATTTCCTTCTGGGTTGACACCTTTCTCCCATGCTTCCATAATGACCTGACATGAAAGAGGAGGCCAAGACACTGTTTACAGTTGGAGGAGAAAAAGTGCATTGTCAGATCAGAAACTGGGTGACTTTCATTGTGACTATATGTTCACATATGTTCCACTTCATGCTGGTATAGGGTTGTAATGTGGTACAGTGCATATAAGGTTCAATTTCTAGTATTGCTAATTTTAAAAAACCCTTCTGCATTTTAGATCTGAGAGACCCTACTACCAGTCAAAGTCATTACAACCCTATACCAGAGCTAAAGATAAGACACACCAGCTGTCTGGTGCCGTTCAGTAGAGAGGGTCTCTGTTTATGAAAGATGCCTGCTTGACTAGACTTGCTGGCTTGAGCCAAGAGATTTTTGTAGTGCAGGTATCTTTCTGCAGCACACCTGCTCCTTGCTTGTGATGCACTTCGCTCTAAGTTATGTCATGGGCTTATGGGGGCACACCCATTCACCTCCCAAATGTTTTTATGTTCATTTCTCTGTTTAAAGATAATATGAGTTTGTTGTAAGAAACAGAAGCCCCTTCCCCAGGAAGGAGGATGGCGGAGACGGCGGGGGCTGAGCCTTATTTCGTGGGGCAATGCCGGCGGTGGTGGCAGTGGCACTACCGCCCACAGCGGTGGCAGGAGCAGCAGCCGCATGAGCCTGCCTTGTGGCTGGCAGGACCGCCTGGAGGGACTCGGTGCGGTGGAGGCTCCACCGCAGCCCCGACGAGCCAAGCTGAGTTTAGCAGCCCTCTCAGCTGGTCTTCCTTTTCCCGCCCCTCCGGGGCTGGTCGGGGAAGCGGCTTGCTGGAGCTGTCATATTATCTTTAAACAGAGAAATGAACATAAAATAATGTTTAATAATGGATTTATTAAGCGCATGTTTGCTCACGCGCTCAAACCGGAAGCTTTTTTAAAAAAAAACCACAGGTAATGCACGGCGATTTTCCTTAGGAGCTGGCAGGTGAGCGGGTGGTGGAAGAGAGGGGCCGGCTGCATCTAATCAGCCCAACCCGAAGAAAAATGTTCCCGATTAAATTAAAGCGGGAATAAAGTGGAATTACCTTCCCGTGTGACCACAGCCTTATACAGGACTGAGACTAATTTTGAAGCTAATAGACACATTTTAGCACCTCGATGTTTTTGACGCCTTTCAGTGTACTTCCGTGGACTCACACAGAGAGGTTTTCATTGTAGCTTGAAGAAAATGAGATAGATGGACATGCACAAAAATGGACCATCCTTCTGGCTGCCTGTGAGCCATCAATACTGAATGCTTCTGCTTCATCCAAGATTCTGATATTTGGGGAACTGAATTATCAGAAGCATGCTTCTTACCATGCCGTTGTTTATAGATTCAGATTTTGGAAACAAAATCAGTATACCTGTAAGGGTATGGTCTCATCAGTGTTGTCCATTCTGACAGGGTCTTTCACGTCATCTGATCATTTTCACTGGAGACTGAACCTGGAACCTTCTGTATGCAAATTAGATGCTACACCACTTGAACCAAGGAACCTTCCAGGAGAGCCTCTTAAGTCGGAGGAAGGTTCCAGACTTTGCTGAATCAAGTGGCAGGATGCAGAACAACAGCATGAAGCCAGAGAATGATATGGATTCCCATCACCTGACAGCCTGTAGTATAGTTGTGGATTGTTTCCGCCAGTGAGTGGTATTCAAGAACTATTATAGAAGAGATGTTGGTGCCCTCTAGTGGTCTTTTCCCAGTATAGCCAGACTAGCAGTAAAGCCCGTTGTGAAAACAATACAATGGGATCTAGAAAGAGGCTCTGGGGGAGTGCTCTGGCTTTGGGCAAACAGTGTCAATTTGCTGTGGTGACCTCAGCAGGGTATAATGACAGAGTCCACTGTTTTCTCCAGAGGAACTGATCTCTGCTACCTGAAGAGCAGTTGTAATTGTGAGTGATCTGTAGCCCTCACCTGGAGATTGGCAGCAATTGTTACCCAGGACAAAATGGCTGGTTTGGAGGGTGGAGTTGGCAACCCCATCTCCTTCCCAGCTAACCATCAACCTACCATTATCTGCCCCTTTGACTTCAGCTGACTTCTGCCCTCCCTTCTGCAGAGCAGTTGTAATTCTGAGTACTCTCCAGCCCTCAACTGGAGATTGGCAACAATGGTTCCCTATGTGGGACTGATTGGCTTGGTGGGTGGAGTATATGGCATTGTACCTGTCTGAGGTCCCACCCCTCCTCAAACCTCACCCTCTTCAGGCTCCATCCCTCAAACCTCCAGGAATTTCCCATCTGGAGTTAGCAACCCTATCAGGACTGGCCCCAATGTGTTTTCTCCCAAAGGCCAAAGTAGGTGACAGGACCAAGCTTAGCTGCCTACCAACAGGCACTGAGGGGAAAGTAGGGTTGCCAGCTCTAAGGAGGGAAATACCTGGAGATTTGGGGGGTGGATTCTGTAGAGGGCAGCATTGGGCGGGGGGGGCGGAAGGACTCAGCGGTATAATGTCATAGGTAGAGGGCAGCATTGGGCGGGGGGGGGCGGAAGGACTCAGCAGGTATAATGTCATAGGGTCTACCCTCCAAAGCAGCCATTTTCTCCAGGGGAACTGATCTCTGTCATCTGGAGATCAATTGTAACAGCGGGAGATCTCCAGGTCCCACCTGGAGATTGGCAAACCTAGGGGAAAGTCAGCTGCACAGCAGGGGGTTGAAGAGAATGGTTTGATGGCTGCTGGGCCAAGATTGGCAGCAATAGTTCCCCAGAAGCAAATGGCTGGTTTGGAGGGTGGAGTCTATGGCACTGTACCTGTCTGAGGTCCCCCTCTCCGGGCTCCACTCCTCAAATCTCCAGGAATTACCATACCTGAAGCTGGCAACTTTATCTCCTCCCCTCTCAGCAGCCTCTTTCTAGGCAAAAATCTGTCTTTCTCATTATCGGGGGAGCAAAGCAGCTTACTTCATTCTCTTCGGTTTTGCGATCTGCACAACAACACTGTAAGGTTGGTTTGGCAGAAAGTCTGTGGCTGCTCTGAAATATAGTTAAAATAGTTAAGTTAAAATATAGGTTTGGATACCAGCTAACACAAGTGGAGTAGTGCTTGTGGAAGTGAATCCCCCCCCCTTCACTTTCGGGTGTTGTCTAGGGTGCCAACTATGGGTTGGAAAATTTCTTGAGATTTGGGGGAAGAGCTTAGGAAGCAGTGGGGTATAATGCTATAGAGTTCATGCTCCAAAGCAGCTGATTTCTCCAGGAGAACTGATCTCTGTAGTCTGAAAATCAGTTGTTACTCCAGGAGATCTCCAGGCCCTGCCTGGAGCCTGACAACCCCAGTTATCTCCCTTTTAGATTTTGTCCCTGGAGATCAGTGGACCCCCAGAAACACTCTGCAGCAGGAGGGGAGAACTGGTACATCACACACACACCCTTTTCTGTTGCAGAAATGTCTTCTGCCAGTGGAAAACAGGATCCCTTCATAAAGCCTGGGGAAATACCACACATTTGGCCATTTGATTAGTTTCTCAAACTCAAAATCATTTATTCATATGTAAGTCTTATTAAATAATGGAAAAACCCTTTTAAAAGTTTCATGTTTTGAGCTGGATTCAAGCCCTGTAACTCCTTAGAGACCAACAAGATTTTGGGGGGTATGAGCCTTTGAGAGTCAAGGCTCCCTTGGTCAGATGCCCCTTGACTCTTGGAAACTCACCCCCCCGCCCCCGCCCCCGCTTTTTGATCTCAAAGGTGCTCCCGGGGTTGAATCTAGCTGTTCTACTGTAGACCAACACGGCTACCCACTGAAAAATTTTAATGGCCTTTTTTTCTTAGAAGCCACTATATTTTCACAATTCATAATAAAATGGGGATTTTAATGAGAAATTTAGGAATCAGTTTCTAGTCCTATCACTCATTGCATCATAGCATTTTAAAGTAGTTTACTGTTCGGTGAGCAATTATTTTCTACCTGCATTCCAGAAATATTCTGTAGTTTTCAGCACTGCTGAAAAAGCCAGTTGGCAGATAAAGCCAGTTGGCAGATAAAAAAAAAAACACTACTTCATCTTGCATTTTTACACTTTTCTGAATCTTGAATCAAGGAAATGTCCACTGATGTTAATGGGAAAGGCAAAACGCATAATATGATATCATAAGAACATAAGAAGACTCCTGCTAGATCAGACCAATGGTCCATCTAGTCCAGCATCCTGTCTCACACAATAACACACTTGCAGCAATCTTTGGGTTTATATCACACAATAACAAACCAGTTACTATGGATGGCCAACAACAGGGCATAGAAGCCAAGGCTTCTAACCCTAACCCTGATATTGTCTCCTGGCTCTGGGATTCAGAGGCTTAGTGCCTCTGAATGTTGAGGTTCCCCTCAGTCACCATGGCTAGTAGCCACTCATAGACCTCCATGAATCTATTGAATCCCCCTTTAAAGCTGTTTATTTCTGTGGCCATCACTACATCTTCTGGCAGAGAATTCCAAATTTTAATCACTCTCTGTGTAAAGTAGTATTTCCATTTGTCCACCCTGAACCTACTGCCCATCAGCTTCATTGGATGCCCTCGAGTTCTTGTGTTTTGGGAGATGGAGACATAGTTCTCTTTGTCAACTCTCTCCACCCCATGCATAATTTTATAAACCTTTATCATGCCTCCCCCCCAGTTGTCTCTTTTCTAAATTGAAAAGTCCCAGAAGACTCATAGGGAAGGTGCTCCAGCCCCCGAATCATCTTGGTTGCTCTCCTCTGCACTTTTTCCAGTTTTGCAGTGTCCTTTTTGAGATACAGTGACCATAACTGTACACAGTATTCCAGATGAGGCCACACCACAGTTCTTTGTAGGGACATTACAATATTGGCTGTTTATTCTCAATCCCTTTCCTAATAATCCCTAACGTATAGTTTGCCTTTTTTCACTGCTGCAGCACACCGGGATGACACTTTCATTGAGCTATTCACTACGATCCCAAGATCTTTTCCCCTCTCAGTCTCAGCAAGTTCAGACCCCATTAGCCTATGCTTGAAGTTGGGATTTATTCTCCCAATATGCATCACCTTACACTTACCAACACTGAACTTCATTTGCCACATTGTCTCCCATTCACCCAGTTTGTGGAGGTCCTCTGGGAGTTCTTCACAGTCAGCCTTGGTTTTCACCATCCTGAATCATTTTGTGTCATCTGCAAACCTGGCCACTACACTCCTCACCCCTAGTCCCGGCTAAATTTAGTGCCGCATGACGGAGTGAGCTCCCGTCTCTGGTCCCAGCTCCTGCCAACCTAGCAGTTTGAAAGCAAGAAATTGTAGGTAGATAAATAAGTACCGCTTTGGTGGGAAGGTAACTGCGTTCCGTGCACCTTGGCATCTAGTCATGCTGGCCACATGATCACGGAAACATCTTTGGACAGCGCTGGCTCTTCGGCTTGGAAACGGAGATGAGCACCGCAACCCTAGAGTCAGATTCAACTGGCTTTCAAGAAAGGGAAACCTTTACCTTTACCTGCACATACAAGTTGATCTACATTTGATCTATTGATCAATTATCTCACATCTGAAGTTCCTTAAAAACTGTCGGGTGTATGCTATCAGGACCTGGAGACTTCTCAGTTTTTGATTTCCCCAGTAGGTCTAGAATGTCATCTCTGGTCACCTCAATTTGGCTCAGTTCTTCAGACTCCCTTCCTGAAAATAGATGCTGTGGCATGGGCACAGTGAACACAGATGCAAAAAAGTCCTTGGGCTTCTCAGAAACTGCTTTAAGGATGTAGCCGCTCAGCTTAAAGTCCAATAATAAGGGTCTAATACTAACAATAATAACATTCCCCATCATAAGGGAAGTTGTATTAATTCAGCTCTAAAGCAACTTTCGGAGAAGGAAAGAGAACCAGCAAGCCCTGTACATCTGTGACTATAAACTGGAAGGCAAGATTTCTTAATCTGTGGAGTCCTCGTGTCATTAGTGCATAAACTGTGCTACCAGTAACACTGGAAAAAATTGCCAGCAATCATTAAAGCTCGTAAAGTGGAATGGTGCTTTGATGCTGATCTTACTTATAGTGTGAGATACAGTCTCAGGTTCTGAGGATTTTGTCACACACACACCCAAACCCACACACACACACATTTGTGCCCCAAATAGACTTTAACCATTGCATGAAATTTTCACAAAGGAGACAACCAGGGGTCATTTCCTGCAGGAGCGCACAGGAGCAGAGCTCCGGCAGTAAGGAACCCAGGGGGTGGGTACATGCAACAAGCCCCGCCCCCTGCTCCCAGCAGCCCTCAGTCGGGCCACGAGGAGCAAGAAGCAGCCAGGTAAGTTGCAGAGCCCCCCCCTCCGCCCACCTTCAGGTACAAGCTCTCCCTCCTCTGTAAGGGCAGATCTGCACACACACACACACACCCCATAGCTAGCAATCCAAAACAGTCCAGTGGCACCTTTAAGACCAAGTTTTATTCAGGTACAAGCTCTCCCTCCTCTGCGAGGACAGATCTGCACGTCCCCCCTCCCCAATAGCTAGCAATCCAAAACAATTCAGTGGAGCCTGAGTGGTGGGTGTTGCCTTCTGACACACTTCCAGTGATGTCAGGGGGTGTGGCATATGCAAATGGGTTATGCTAATGAGTTATGCTAATGAGCTCCTGCACCTCTTTTTCTATGAAATGACCCCTGGAGACAGCTACATTGCTGTCACCATCCCTTTTTTTAAAAAGCCAAAAAAAAAAATGGACAATGGCTTAGTTGTGTGTTCCAGTGCAGGATTGGGAGAGTGGCCTGTCTGCAAAGCACAAAATGAATAATTCACAAAGCAGCAATGTATTGCAAAGAGGGCCGAAATTGCCTTTCAATTGGTCTGCAGAAAGAAAGCCTTGCAAGAGAGTCTATGTGGACACTGCTGTACTGTGGAGAAATATACAGGCACTAAGAAAAAAATATTATAGCATTTAAATGTTTCTCATTAGTGCAATCCTAAACAGGGTTACACCCTTCCCAGTTCATAGAAGTCAATGGGTTTAAAAGAGTATAACTCTCCTTAGGACTGCACTGTATATGGTGCAGACATGAATTTCAGAGGGGGAAATGGCCTATGCTTGTTTGTAATTGAGTCACAAGAAGATCAAATGAAATATAATCTGTCTTAATTACTATTCCATCAAAATGTCTTCATCAATCTTATAATGTTTAAGCACTTGTAACATTAATACTTCGTATGAAGCCACATTTAGTGACTTTAATGGGTAAAGGGGTAGGGTATAGGCTTTTAAATGAAACAAACAACTTCAGCCCACACAGTAGAAATGAATGCACTGCTGGAGGTGATGCTGGTGCAAATCTTGAATACTGAGATACTTCAGTATTTATCCAGCAGAAGTTGTAGCCCAGAGGGAAGATACACAAAATATGAGAAGCCATTTGTGCTTTTACTACTCAATAAAGTAGGTTGTTCATGCGATAAGCTGTTGCCATAATAAACCGACCATGTTCTGTCATTTTCCCCCTCTATTTACCTTACTGTCGTAGCAAAGGCAAGCATGTATGGCGTTGATTATACTAAACGAGAAGTAAATATTTAAATGTTATTGTGTGTACTGTAGGAAGTGTCATTCATAGCAACAACATGGGCTCAGATGTTGCCTAAGGTGACATATGAAACTGGGCTTGTATACATCTGCTTTGCTCCAACAAACATCCTTTTTTTTAAAGTAACTCAGGCAGTCATTCACCACAGCTGGCCATGTCTTATTCCTATGAGCCCTCTTCAAAGAGCCGCTAAAAGGTTAGAATTCAAAATATTGGTGGTACAATGGTGACAGAAATAAAATGAGAAGTTACTTTTGGTTCTTTTAATTGTTTTGAGCCATGTATGTTTTCATAGGATTAGATGGAATTGGAGCAGTAGGGGTGGCACTTATAAGAAAGATGTTAGGCGCACCAGCAGTTATTGAACTGGAGTAGATTTGAGAGATAACTAAATAAAACCAGGCGTTACTGTCTGTCAACAATGAATCACAATGGCCACTGTGTACGAAGGATTTCTACAGCACTGATGTGTCATTAGCATGTTGCATTTTTTAAAACTTCCTGGGCATTCTCTCTTGGTTTTTGTTAAAAATCTCATTACTTCTCAAATGTGTGCAATTGAATGAGAGAAGGGCGAGTCCAACCCTCTGTCCCAAGCCATAATTCCCCACACATCATCCCACAATCACATAGTGCAGATGGACCAAAGCACCGAGTCCATGAGTGCCCCCAAACAGATTGCTCTGCTTACCTGTACAAACTGCTCCAGGGCTTGTCGATCCAAGCAAGTGTAGTTTTGCAGGAATTTGAGTTTCTCCAGTTGGAACTGGTCCCGAGACTTGGCTTCTGCCTGTTTTTCCAGCAGCTGAAACACCAAGGCCCCCAGGAGGAGATAAAAGAGATACCCCAGCACCAGAGTCAAAGTCCAGCTGAGCGGTCGGTTACACACCATGAGGTGGGGCATGACTGCTTCTGGGAAGATGCAGCTGACCTGGATGAGCTGCGCAAGCACTCACTGGGTTAATGTTCCTGTTCCAAGAGACACAGAAGAATCGGACTGTTGTATTTTCAGCACATGCTGTTAAGATTCTGTTTAAACAGCTCTATGAGCATCAGGTCTGGACAACATGAGGCTAATGCAAATATAGATCATCCAGCTGTGTTTATCTTCATCTGGGAGCAAAATACTTGCTGTTAAAGATGTATCGGGACACTTGATGTAGCAGTTCTTCATCCAAAGATGTTAAAAATATTTTGGGTATTGGTGAGTGAATTACTAATTTTAAGTACTTTTGATCTGTTCAATTTTCTGGCTATTAAGCTATTTGCCGAAGTCACACCATGAGTTGGTGGCAGAGACTCTGATAAATGGCAGAAGCGATGCTGCTTAACAGTTGGCTGTAACTGCTAGAAAACAGTACTAGGATACTCTATAAATACTGCAGTTATCAAAGATTTCCCAAATGTAAAAGTGTGTGAAACACCCCCCAAAGCCAGTAGATGTGGCCTATAATATACAAGGTCATAAGCTACTCACAAGAATCCTGTATGTTACCTAATTGCAAAACTGACTACCTCTTTTCAGCAACTAACTGGTTCTTCCATCTTGTTTCTTAAATTGTAAAGTCTGTTCCTATTTGGTAGGAGCCTTTCATTACAGCCTCTTGTCTCTAGGCTGCCCTTTCCATCCAAGTGGAGGTGTGTGTGGGAAGCAGGCTAAGGGTTAATGGTTAGCTCAGATGATACCAGAGTTGCCTTAAGGGAAGCAATGATTTCCATGGATAGAAAGGGATGGAAAACCTCTTACATGGATGACTTGGAATGGCCCTGCGTCCTGCCAAAGACCCACAATCATAACAAAAAGATGTCAAGTGTCTGATCTACTGTTTTTTTAAACCACTTCTGCCTTGAAGTGCTTTTTAACTTCTGCCTTAAAGACTGCTTGGAACCATGAGCATCAGATTGCTTTCCTTGTCATGGAATGGAGGGGAGAGAGGGCAGAGTTTCTTTCAGCACTTTCCTTCTCTCTGCACAGCCCCTGTAAGACTGGAAAATTACCCAGCTTCATCGTTCGCATACAAGGAACAAGGAAGCATTAGGAGGAGGGCCCAGCAACAGCCCTGGTGAAAACTGAATGAGAATCTAAGAATCTCTGATGAATGGGATGGCATGGCGGGGCACCAAAACGTGTAATTTGCTCTTACAAAGCAGATAGGGAGCGGTGGCACAGGGGATTTTTTCCCTGCTTAACAATAACATCTGAACTGCCATGCTTTGGCAGTTCTAGCCCCGTGCTGGTGTGAGCAACCAAGCCTTGTCCTAGCTCATCGTCTACCCAGCAATTCGAAAGCTTCAGCGTGTAGATAAATTGGGGACCACCCGTAAGGGGGTGGGCACACCCCTCCCTTCGGGAAGGTGTTAGCTGCCGAGGCAACTTCTGAGGCGCGGCGACCGGAAAGACGAAAGAGCTGTGTCGGCTTCCCTGCAGTGGAGCGAGTCGGCCAGGCGGCGGCAGTGTGTGGCTGCACAACATCAGGAAGCCAGATGTCATCAGCCAGCCGACAAGATGCCGTAGGAACACGACTGACCCAGCCCGCAGATGAAGCCCGGCTAGCTGCAATGTGTGTGTAATTAATGTTGTATGTTTGTCTTCCCTATCCCCACAAATATTGTTAGTCCAACTGTCTCAAGAGTAACTGTAAATCGCTCTGAGCCCGCAGGTATGTGGGAAAGAGCGATCAATAAATCGAAAGCATTATTATATTATTATTATATTAGAGGTCTTAGTATAGATGGTGCTGTGTTAACCCTCCCGTCTTGTGACATTTCCCTGATTGGAAGGGTCCCCATCTGGGTTGCTTTAAGCTTTGTTAGGGGAAAACACAGGTATGATACAGGTATTATTCTTTCCTCCATATTTGGTCTTAAAACAGACCAGGGAAGGTATCATTTTTTATAATGGAAATGCCAAGAGGAAAAAGTGTTAAACCCCACCATCCCCAGAGCTGTGCCTCTGATCCCAAGTAGTTCTCTGCAGCTTTTCAGGCCACATTTTGTATATGAAGCTCCAATCACTCTGATTGTTCCAAGTTGAAAAAATGACATTTCCAACATTTGTACTAGACCTTCAGGAAATTGAAAATAAATAGGCTTGAGTATTATAAAGATAAATGATTTATTAAGGTAACAAATAATACTTCTTGACATCATGTTGTTAAGCATAGTGAAAATGGGAAAGAACTTGGGCAAGAATTGAAACACTATCTTCTCTTAGCATTCCATATAATGATGCATTAATGGTCATTTTTGACACTAGGGGAAGGTATTTATATATGTAAGCAAACTAGATGGATTTGGATGCACAGTTTTTAATATTTACAATTAATTTTTTTGTGATTTACTATAATCTCAGTTTTTTGTAATTGACATTGATATTTTCATATACAAGGTTTTTCCTTCTTTTCAACTTGTTTGGTTACCTATGAACGTATACCAACATATTTTGGGGGAGATGCATGGATCAATAGATCCATATTTGGGTTTGAGATTCCATTTCTAGATACTCTCAATGACTGTGCCATGGAGCAGATAGTCACAGAACCTTCCAGGGGATAGGCAGTTCTGGACTTGGTCCTAAGTAATGCTCATGACCCAGTGAGAGATGTAAATGTGATAGCATTTACGTATATAAAGAGTTGCTCAAAAAGTAGGGATGCCAGTCCCCAGGTGGGGGCAGGGGTTCCATGATTTGATGGGCTCCTGCCTGCCACTGGCCAGCTGGCTGTGGGGGAACCTCACCCCTAAGCCCCACCCCCAGCACATGGCCCACCAAAAGGATGGAGGGCCCTTTAAATCTTGCAGGAGTGGAGGGGTGACTACTGGCCACATGCCTGAACTCAAAGCAGCAAATTCACTGCTTGGAGTTCAGGCATACTGCCCCCCCACACACACTCGTTGCCCAGAGCATTTAAAGGGCCCAGTTGGCATATATCCAAGAGTCCTGAAAGAACTCAAATGTGAACTTGTGGGTCTCCTGACAAAAAAATACAATCTGTCACTAAAATCTGCCTCCATTCCCAAGGACTGGAAGGTAGCTAATGTAACTCTCATCTTTTAAAAAGTTTCCAGAGGAAATCCAGCAAATTACAGGCTGGTCAGTCTTTTATCAATACCAGGTAATTTGGTGGAATCTGTTATTAAAGATAGAATTAGTAGGCACACTGATGAACAAAAGCTACTGAGGAAGAATCAGCATGTATTCTGTAAGAGAAGATCTTGTCTCACTAACCTTTTAGAGTTCTTTGAGGGGTGAACAAACACGTGGACAAAGGTGACCCAGTGGATGTTGTTTACCTAGACTTCCAGAATGCTTTTGATAAAGTTCCTCATCAAAGGCTCCTAAATAAACTCAGCAGTCATGGGATAAGAGGACAAGTCCTCTTGTGGATTAAAAAACTGGTTAATTAACAGAAAATAGAGAGTATAAGTGGGCAGTTTTCACAGTGGAAGGTGGTAAGCAATGGGGGACTGCAGGGTTTGGTACTAGGTATGGTGCTTTCTAACTTGTTCATTAATGATTTAGAGTTGAGAGTAAGCAGTCTGTGGATGACACTAACTTGTTCAGGCTGGTGAGAACCAGGGAGGACTGTGAGGTACTCCAGAGAGATCTGTTGAGACTGGGCAAGTGGGTGTCAGCACGACAAATGAAGTTCAACGTGGACAAGTGCAAAATAATGTACATTGGAACAAAAAAAAAATCCTATACACACACACACACACACACACACACACACACACACATTAACAGGGTTCGAACTGGTGATAATTGACCAGGAGACAGATCTTGGAGTTGTAGTAGATAACTCACTGAAGTTATCAACTCCATGTGCGACTGCAATAAAAAAGGCAAACAAAAATGTGCTGAAAAAGTCGGCTTATACTCGAGTATATACGGTAAGCCAGTATCATAATGCCTCCGTTTAATGCCAGGGTGCTTCCTCATTTGGAATACTGTGTACAGTTCTGGTCACTGCACCTCAAAAAAAGGAATTATTGCATTGGAAAAGGTGCAGAAAAGGGCAACTAAACTGATTAAGGGGATGGAACACCTTCCCTATGAAGAAGGGTTAAAGAGGTTAGGGCTTTTTAGCTTAGAGAAACAATGACTGAGTGGTGACACGATAGAGGTTTACAAAATGATGCATGGGATAGAGAAGGTAGACAAAGAAGTACTTTTCTCCTTTTCTCACAATACAAGAACTTGGGGCTCTCAATGAAATTAATGAGCAGGAGGCTTAGAACAGATAAAAGGAAGTACTTCACCCAAAGAGTAATTAACGCATGGAATTCACTGCCACAAGAAGTGGCGGCGACTACAGCTTCAAAAGCGGATTCGATAAACATATGGAGCAGAGAGAGGTCCATCAGTTTTTTAGCCACAAGGCATAGATGGAACACTATGTCCAGGGCAGAGATGCTCTGTATTCTTGGTGCTTGGGGGGCAACAGTGGGAGGGCTTCTGGAGTTCTGGCCCTATTTTTGGACCTCCTGATGGCACCTGGGATTTGGCCACTGTCTGACAGAGTGTTGGACTGGATGGGCCATTGGCCTCACTCAGCATGGCTTCTCTTATGTTCTTATTCAAGCCTCCAGATGCAGCCATCTTGGCTCAGAACCAGTACTCTGAGGCTGTCGTCAGGGGACTAAGGAAGAAAATGCTGAAGCTGAATCCAGACAAGACAGAGATGATGTTGGTCAGGAAGGCTGAGACTTTATAGGGATTTGATCCATGTGTCCTGGATGGCTTTTGTTAAGAGCTTGGGGTTGCTCATGGACCCACCCTTGGTGTTTGAAAAACAAGTTGATGTAGGTGGCCAACAGTGCCCTCTGTCAGCTGCATCTGGTTCACCAATTGCCTCGTTTCTTAGATTCTGCCAGTCTGGCTATGTTGATCCATGCTTTTGT